TTAATTTTAATATAAAAATAAATATCTCGAATTGTGAACATATTTTATCTAATAGTGCAATAAAATGTATTGAGTATTTCACGATTTAATACATTTTTATGTTTATTTTTATATATATTTACGTTATTTTGTGTATGTATAGCGGTTTTAATGTGCATCAGTGTTCAATGAATGCGTCCAATCAAATTCGTTATTAGTTTTATTTTTGTTCATTATTGTTGCAAAATACTTAATCACGATTTAATCAACAATATCTTTATAATCTTTGTTATTCGTAATTCACGATATTAGGTTTACATTTATCGCATATTATGACATGCTGTCTTTAGTAGGTTACTAAAATCCCTAAAATATTCCTTCTTTCGAGAAGGCAGACTTGAGATCAGTTTATGGGTGCATCCAGAAGTACGACTGCTCAATGACCTCTTTTACCTGTTTGATTTACATTTTTAGATCTAATGGAATATGCTAAATGCAAGAGTTTACTGAGCGCTCAGTGAGCACCTTATTAAAACAAGGAGGCCTTGAAAAATCGAGAAATCCTTCATAGAGGCTTCCTCCATCTTTAAAATAAGGAAGGACTATGAATATGGATGTTAATTTTGGATGCTAGAGGTCTTTTTTCTGTGGCTGAACTAGGAATCTATTCTGTATCTTGAAACGAGGTAAAAATTACAAAAGTGAGCAAATTTACTAAAATACTGATAATTTCATTGGTCAACACCTAGTAAATTTGCTTACTTTTATAATTTTTACCTTGTTTGAAGATACAGAATCGACTCCCTAGTGTACACTTTTGGAACTTGAAGTGAGATAGAGTATATGTTTGATATTTATTGAAAGTGAAAAAGAGAGCTAATGCAGTCTGGAGGAATAGAAAACAGACCATAGAACTGCCGGAAGTTCAATACGGTGCAGCTACAAAAAGCTTTCAAATGCTCCGAAATGCTCCGAATTTCTATGATGCAAAGTGCGGACTGCAGAGTAGATTAAATTTAGTTTAGGTTAGGGTTCAAGGCACTGTTACGTGAAACTGACGTGAACGCGTCAGGCGTCTACGTAATAGATTCGTGCGTCTACAGGTGAATAAATTTTAACAGATTCGATTTTTTTTAAATATAATTCGAATATTTACAAATGTAGAGGATTGGATAACCACCCCATAAGGATGTAAGGGGAAAATTTCTGTTCGTGGGCATGAAATATTTAATATAATATTGGAGCACAAACGATGATTCTAACCATTAATCGCGCGACGCATAATTTTTTTTTACGTTAATTGGAAGTATAATATATACAATATTGCAAATATGGGCAATCGTAAATATTTATTTTAAAAAAATTTCTGATGAGTGATAAAAATCATCTTCAATCTTGTTATACATAAAAGTATCGACGTATATGTATATTCCACAATAAAATATTATAAGTAGTTTCAAAATAAAATCGAATATGTATAAGAAATCTGTTTACTTGAGTATTTATCAGCATTTTGACTTCGTCACAAATATCAAATATGATCCACACTGTTAGAAATGTTCTAAAATTTCATTAACTTTTAATTTAGTTATATAATTTGAACTTAATTTTATAACGTTACATTAAATTTAATGTATTTATAACTAAAAAGTATATTTGTAACATAAAATTTAATAATGTATTTTTCATGAAAATTTATAAAATTTATGTATTTTCCATATAATTGTATTAAAATTACATTAAATTTTATAAATTTAATGTACACATTCATTACATTTAAATAACTACTGTAACTTAATTTTTAATTAATGCATTTATTAAATTTAAATTTCGTTCATAACCACGAGCTTCATTTATATGTAAAGGAAGTTCGTGGTTACATTTCTAATAATGTACATTTATGTATATATACTATTAAAAATTTTATGATATTTAATATACTTTTAAGTTAGACAATTTGAAATTAATTTCATGACATTACATTAAATTTAATGTATTATATTTATAACTAAAAAGTATATTTGTGTACATGTATTATACATAAAATTTTATATATTTTTCATGAAAATTTATGAAATTTAATTTAACTTTTAATACAAACTGTAACTAAAAGTTAAATCATTTATTACTTTTAATTTTGTTCATAATCACGAGCTTCATTTACATGTAAAGGAAACTCGTGCTTTCATTTCTAACATACTGCACAGAAGCTTCCTGCAATATTGCTAGAACGTTGCAATGTTGTTACAATATTGCTGGAATCAAATTCGTGCTGTATAGGATCAATAAAATTTCTAAATCATGGTTGCAACTTGCTTGCTTACGGTAAATTGATAATAAATTTCATTCAAATCAAGCGCGTCATAGCGTAATTCATTTAAGGGCTTTATGCTTTCACACGTCAACATATTTATAACGCCTGGAGGTATCCCAGATGACAAAAACAGGTTGCAATACTCTATTATATTGCATGAATTTGCGGAACATATCACGACGACGGAATTGCCGATTATTAAACTCTGTGTCAATTTGCGAAACAGATTTGTTTCTTTCTTCTCCACAAGCGTGATGACACCTTTCGGTTTACGGGTTCTTACCACCAAGGATCGTCCACTTTGAGGCTGCAATGAATTCTTATACCAGAGTGGAAATTTTATCCATTTGAATACTATTTCCGACAATTCGGGTTTACTAAAAAAAAAAAGAAAAAAAAACAGCAAAAGATAAGATAAAATATGCACAAGAGATACAATAATTTTATTAGTTTGAGATACCTAATGTATTCCAGTAAAAATGCGAACTTGGATAATATTTGCGTTCTGGATTCAGTGGATAGCTCACTCCAGATTTTGAACCCTTTTTTAGCTGATGCAAAACATCTGCTCATATCATCTCTAGAATAATATAAAATTGAAAATTTATTAGAAATCATTATTGAATTTTTTAAATTTAACATTTATCATTGGTTGAAATTAGGCAAGATATATACTTTGTTGCATTCGCCCTTAGTATATTATTATGTAACCAATAAGTATTTTGTATAGGCTTTTGCCATGTACCGTCATAAAACATATAATTATAAATCGGATTTGCGGGTACAGGCTTTTTTTTCGAACATATTGGCTTTATCATGTTTACTATGCAACGCTCATCATTAATATTGAAATTACACAGTGGACTCTTGTACATTTCGATATAAGGTATAACTATCATCGTCTCATAGAAATCCAGCATATTTATTAGGACAATATTTCTCTGTTAAAAAGAAAAATCATTAACGTTTGAAAACAATTTGATAATACTATGCTATACAATTTAAATATGCATACATCTAAGGATGTTGCTAAATTTTTTGCAGCTGCAATATCTTCAGACCATATGGATGTTACGTTTATTATACAAGATATAGCAGGTGTAAGTAATTCTTGCTTAGATTTAAATACACGAATAACATCAGTGGAATTGCTAAAAACTTCATTCATAAGTGACAAAAAATTGCATTCTATTGATTCTGATACCCATATTTTACTTAAGTATTTTCGAGTGTTTTCTGATAGCTTTAAAGATTTAATAACTGCATATAAATCCGAATCGTCTAGGACTATTATTTCAATGGTCTGATCTATATATAAAATTTAAAACAATTTTATTAAAGGCGAAAGTGTATTTTTAAATTAAACCTTAAATCTGTTAAAAATGTTTCTCTTACGTGAAAGTAGCTCTTTATACGTGTTATTATATAGATCATTATCTGCCAATGAATTTGTGCTAAAATATAAAATAATATCAAATTATTTCGAAAGTCTTGAGATACATTTTTAATTCAAAATTCATTAAATTTTTAAAATAAAGCATGGAACAAGAGAAAAATTGTTGATTATATTAGAGCTATTTTCGTAATAAAATTTATAAAATAATATATAAAGATTTTTGTAATGCTCTCTCTATAAAACACAAGACGAACGTGTGTAATAATATTCACAATAATTTTAACACAAAAAGAAAATATGGATCGATTAATATATTTAATAAGTATAAATATATTTAATAATAGAATAAATTTCAATTAGATAATTACATGATGCAAGTTTCCAAAAAATATTGTACATCATCCCTTGCGCAAAAATTAAGAAGTGTTAGTATTAACGTCCAAATAACTTCTTGTTTAGCTTGCTTTTCTAAAAAAAAAAAAAAAAAAAAAAAAATTAAGGAAAAAA